ACGGCCGCGCGGAGCTGGCGGCCGAGCTGCGCCAGCGCCTGGGCAGCACAAGAGTGATTCAACGTCGCTTCAACGTGAGTGTTCCGCGCGCGCGCGTCCCGGAAAAAGCATCCACGCTTCGAGACCGTTCCGAGAGATGATCGCTCGTCCAAAAATCAGCCGAAACGAGTGGAAAACAGCCGAGAGAGGAGCCTTTGAAGTTGGGAATTTCGCTCTCTTTTCCTGCCCTGGCCAGCGCGTCCGACAGCAGCTCGCCCGCGCCGTCGCCGCGGACCGCCCCGACGAGCACGAGGGCCGCGCCGGCGTCGCGGCGCGCCACGGCGCAGGCCGCGACGGGCGCGCCGCGGTCGTAGGCGACCAAGGTCGCGGGCCGGTCGCCGGCGCGCGCGGCGCCCGCGGCCGCGGCGACGGCGGGGAGCCGCGCCGCGGCGGCGGCGGCGGCGCCGTCGACGATCTCGACGCGGCCCGGCGCGCCGGGCCGCGCGAGGACCGCGCCGGCGCCGTAGGCGCGTTGGGGGTTCGGGAGCCAGCGGTCGCGGCCGAAGGGGAACGACGCGAGCACCGCGGCCGCGGCCGCCGCGTTGTCGCCCGCGGGCGGCGCCCCGGCGACGGCGGCGAGCCAGGCCGCGTAGGCCTCGCGGCCGTCGAAGAGCGCGCGCGCGTGCTCGTCGAGGTCCGCGCGGTCCTCGGGCGACGCGCCGGCGACGCGCGGGAATCGCCGGTGGAAGTGGCGCCGCGCGGCGCCGAGGGCGCCGCGGCAGCGCCGCGCGGCGCCGGCGATCTGGGCGGCCCGCGGGGTCTCCGCCGCGAGCGCGGCCGCGAGCGCCGACGCGTCGCCGTAGGCCGCGGCGACGGCGTCCGCGGCGTCCGCGGCGCGGCGGCCGTCGTCGTCGCGCGGCGCGCAGGCGCCCGCGTCGAAGGCGCCGCGGAGGTCGCCGAGGCGCTGGCGCAGGATCAGCGCGTTCGCGAGCGCGCGGCCGTCCTTGAGGCGCCCGCTCGGCGCGACGAGCGCGACGCGGCGCCGGCCGTCGCCGTCGCCGCAGCCGCACGCGTACGCGCGCCGCCGCGACGGCGCGCGGTGGCCCCGCGCGGCCGCGCAGCGCGCGTGCTGCCAGCAGTGGCACGCGTCGCACTGCCACATCTCCTCGCGCGCCGAGTTGACGTTGCACGCGCGGAGGCCGCAGTGCTCGCACCAGACGACCCAGAGCGGGAACGTCGCCGCGAGCGCCCACGCGCCGGGCCGGTCCGCGACGGGCGGGCCCCGCGGCTCCTCGTCGACGTCGTCGTCGGACGACGACGACGACGGCGCGTCGGCGGCGAAGCGCGCGCGCGGCGCCTCCGCGGCCGCGGCCGCCGGGCGGTCGGCCGCGCGCGCCGGGGGCACGTCGAAGCGCACGCGCGGCGGCTCCGCGGGCGCGGGCGCTCCCGCGGGCGGCGGCGCGGGCGCCGCGGGGACGGGCCCCTCGCGGAGCGGCTCCGCGGCGGCCTCGGCAGGCGCCTCGAAGCGAGGCGCCTCCCGAGGCGGCGCCGCCTCCGCGGGCGATTCCGCGTCGTAAGGCGGCTCCGCGTCGCGGGGCGATTCCGCGTCGCCGGGCGGCTCCGCGTCGCCGGGCGCTTCCGCGTCGCGGGGCGGCTCCGGGTCGTAAGGCGGCTCCGCGTCGCGGGGCGGTTCCGCGTCGCCGGGCGGCTCCGCGTCGCGGGGCGGCTCCGTCTCACCGGGCGGCTCCGCGTCGCAAAGCGGTTCCGCCTCGCCGGGCGCTTCCGCGTCGCGGGGCGGTTCCGCGTCGCGGGGCGGTTCCGCGTCGCAAGGCGATTCCGGCTCCGGAGCCTCCGGAGCCTCCGGCGCCTCCGGCGCCGCCGCCGCCGGCGCGCGCGCGGCGTCGACCTCGAGGCGGTGCGCCGCGGCGACGTCGGCGAGGGCCGCCTTGAGCGTGTCGCGGAAGTCGCGCCGGAGCGACGCGCCGCCGTCGGCGAGGTCGAGGCGCCGCGCGACCGCGGCCGCGAGCCACTTGACGGCCAGCCCGCCGCGCTTCGCCTTGTCCAGGAGCGCGCCGCCCGCGGCGAGCACCTCGTGGGTCGCCGCCGCGACGGCCGCCGCGCCGACGGCGCCGCCGGCGCCGCGGCGCGCGGGCGCCGCGGCGCCGCCGCCGCCGCAGTCGCCGCAGCGCCAGCGCGCGAGGTCGTAGATGAGGGCGCCCGTCGCGCAGCCGACGTGCGTCGACGCGCCGCCGCAGCCGGCGCAGGTCACGAGGACCCAGGCCGACGGGTCCGAGCGCCGCGTCGGGCGCGCGCCCGTCGCGTCGTAGGACCTGCCCCTTTCGCACGCGCACGCCGGTGCGCCGCAGGACCGCTCGGGCGCGCCCACCGTGCCCGCGGCGACGTAGTCCGGCGTGCCGCTGCCCTTGGCCACGCCCTGGGCCGCGGCGAAGGCGAGGAAGGCGCCGGCGTCGCGGCAGGCGGGGCAGCGGAAGAGGTCGCCGGCGGCCTCGCTCGACGCGCGCAGGCAGGCGACGCAGACGCGCGCGCCGCAGCAGGGCGCGACGAGGCCCGCGCCGCAGCAGATGATGCAGTCGGCCTCATCCTCCATCGCTTCAGAGCATCGCGATGTCGGCCATAGCTAGCCTGTGTCAAAAACAGCTCATGTTGAACTGCACCAAGAGCGAACCCTTCGGGAGGCTTCCTACCCACCCGCTCGCGGCAGCCCACCCCGACTCGCGGATCGGCGCCTTCGCCATGGCCGTCGCCTCGCTGCCCGAGGACAAGCCGAAGATCGCGTTCCACGCGTGCATGATGGCCATCCAGAACTTCGGGTTCTTCACCATGTACTTTGATATTTGGGGCGCGACGCCCGCCGCGGCGACCTGCGCCGAGACGCGCTTCGCCGTCGGCTTCATGGCCATGACTTGCTTCTACGTCGCCTTCATGTGCGTGGGCATGGGCTTCGGCGGCTACACCGACGACGGCTTCGTCTTCGCGGTCTACTGGTTCGGCCACCTTTTAGGCGGCGGCGCGTACACGATCTGCACGTTCCTCGTGCCCCTCGCGCGCTTCTCGCCCGAGGGCGCGGCCTGCGCGGCGTTGCACCCCATCGGCGGCTCGCGGCTCCAGGTCGTCTACGTCGCGCACGCGGCGCTCTACTTCGTCTACGTCGGCGGCATGCTCTCCATCACCTACTTCTCCTACCTCAAGCCCGCGTTCAAGGCCTCCGTCTCGGGCTCCGCGGCGCTCTCCGCCCTCGTCCTCGTCACGGCCGTCGTCGTCGGCGTCCTCGTCGACAAGGACTACCTCGCCGCGGCGCCCGCGCTCGAGGTGCCCAAGAAGAAGCTCTTCGGCCTCCTCTGAGCCGCGGCCCGGGGGGGCTCTCCACACGCGCGAACCCAGGCCTGCTGGTATGCACTGGCAGGCGCCCTGGTAGTAGTACTAGTAAAAAAAAAAAAGCTACTTACACGCGGGCAGTTGCGACCTGCTCGGCACAGGTCGCAACTGCCAGCCTGTAACTAGCGGTGGTTGGCCGTTCAACTCAAGCCTCGATGCGCTTTGCAAAAGCCCTTGTGCGACCGCCAATCGGCGACTTGGCAGGCCTTGGAGCAGTAGCCGACGATCTTGCAGCCCGCGCACTGCATGAGCTTTGGGACCTGCGCGCCGCAGCTCGCGCAGCCCCGGGCTTGGATGGACGTCATGTGCGGCCTGCGCTCCAGTATCTCGCTGCGGACCTCGTCGACGACCATGACGAGCACTTGGAGAATGGAGCTCTGCCGCATCGTGACCTTGTGGTACGCGCGGATCGGGATGCCCGCCCCGCTGTTCACGTAGTGCTCGAACCGGGCCGCGAGCCCTTGCGAGGCGCCTTTCGCGGTGAGCTGGAGCTTCTGTCCGCGCGTCTCGCCGTCTATGGTGATGATGATACCGTCGTCCTTGGCGAAGTCCGCGCTCTGGAGCGCGCCCGAGCGTCGGAGCAGGTGAAGGTCGGCGTTGTCTTTCACGTAGAGTTCGTCCGTCGAGCTCCACTCCCCCAGGAGCTGGACGAGCCGCTCCGGGTCCTGCGAGAGCTCCCGGACGCTCAGCTCGGGGCACATCGCGCAGGCACCTCGCGACTCTCCGCGGCCGCCAGAATCCCGGTCGCCCGCCCAGCGCGGCATGTGCGGCGACACCGTTTTCAGCAGAGAGGCGCGCGCCTCAGGACTCATGCCGCGCCACGAGAGGAAAATATCGTCGCCACGCTTGTCCAGCGCCGCCTTCAGAGCGCGCCGCATCGCGTCGGGCTTGGCGCTCCCGACGTGCTCCGCGCCGATCTCCACCGCGGCGCGGCTCGCCTCCTCCCCAGCCGCGCCCCACGCGGCACCCGCAGCGGCCGCGACTTCCCTCGAGCGATTTCGTTCCATGTCGCCAAATGGGTTGTAGCTGCGCGTCGCGCGTGACGGCGGCCGGAGCGGAAGCAGATTGCGCAGATCCACAGTCCTGCGCGTGGGCGTTATTGAGGTATAAATTGAAGGAAGTTCCGCCGCGGGGCGTCGGGGTCCGGCGCGGCCGGGGCGCCCCCTCACGCGTCGCCCGCGAGCATGCGGCGCGCGAGGCGCCGCGCGCGCGTCATGTTGCGGTCGTAGAGCTGGACGGGCGCGCACTGGTCCGTGGGCGCCTTCTTCGTGACGGAGACGAGGGCGACGCGCGCGTCGGCGTCCGAGCGGTCGCCCGTGCAGTAGAGCACGGCGGGCAGCCGCTCGTCCGTCGGCGGCCAGAGGGGGATGGGCGCGATCGTGTCCTGGTCCTGCCAGAAGCGCAGCCGCTTCGGCGGCGAGCCGCTCGCCGCGAACGACTTCTCCGGGTCCGGGACGTGCGGCGTGGGCTCCTGGCGCGTGCGCAGGGCGACGAGGGCGTTGGCGCCGCTTTTCTCGCGCATGAAGTGCGTGTTGAGGTCCGTGGACCGCGACGCGCAGAAGGGCCACTCGCGGCGGCGCGGCGCCGCGGCGGCGGTGACGACGGTGCCCGCGGTGCCGTCGTCCTCGCGCGAGCGCTCGAAGAGCGCGTCGGACGTCCGGGGCCGGGCCGTGCGCGGGCCCTTGACGTAGGCGTACTCCTCCCAGGAGATGAGCGCCGACTCGCACGAGGGCACGTCCCAGGACCGCCGCCGCGCGAGGGCGGCGTTCGCGGGCCGGTCGGTCCAGGGGTGGCCGCCGCGCCAGGGGTCCCGCGCCGGCCGCCGGCCACTCGCCGTCGACGCGCGCCGCGGCGCCGCGCGGGACGTCGAACGCCGCACCGGCGACGACGACCGGCGCGGCGGCGACGTCGACCGCCGCGCGGGGCTGCCCGACCAGCCCGGCTCGGCGCCGTGGCCGTTGCCCGTGGCGTTGAAGTCGGGCCCGCGGCCGAAGAGCAGGAACTTGGGGTCGATGGACCCGCTCCAGGGCTTGAGCCGCGTCTTCGCCGACGCGCTCGTCGGCATGATGGTCCCACGCACCGCCCAGCGTCGGGCTGTGGCTCTCCGACGATGTATCTTACATGGTGTTTCTTGGTCAACGTTACCCTTTTTTTGGCCTGGGGGGTCTTTCGACGCGGCCGTCGCGGCGCGGTGGCGGCGGGTATGACTATGTTGTAGGACGACTTCACCGTGAGTTAAACCAGTGCGAGGACCCGTAGTGTCTGCGAACTGGGATGTCTACGTACAGCAATCGACCGCATTTGTCTTCGTCAACTGTCACAGCGTTTAACTTTTGCTTGGCACACTTTTGCTTGGCACACAGGCACTGCCGCCGACAGCCGCGCCTGTTGTCACGCGCGCCGCGCCGCGCCCAACACGCCTCGGCGCGTCGCGCACACCGCTTGCAACGCGGCGCCCATGGCCAGGGACGACGCCGAGGAGGCGCTCGTCGTCGAGGACTTCGAGTACTCGGCGGCGCAGCAGCGCTACCAGGTCGAGGCGCAGTCGCAGCGCGGGAACAACGACGCCATGCGCGAGGAGCTCTTCTACAAGGACGCGACGCCCAAGGCCGAGCACTACATCTCCTTCGTCGTGCGGCTGCCGCCGAATCGGCGGCCGCGGAAGGGCGCGGCGCACGCGCTCGCGGACGCGCCGCTCGACCTCGAGCTGCTCTACGCGCCGTCGGCGCCCGGCGAGGACTACGTCACCGTGCCCGACCAGGGCCACCTGAAGCGCTGCGAGCCGGCGCGGCGCGACGGCGACCCCAAGGGCCCGAGCGAGCGGCCGCGGCTGGGGTTGGTGCTCCGGTACCGCATCGAGCTCGGCTCGTACCGCCAGGGCGACCGCCGCTTCGTCGTCCGCGCGACCATCGCCAAGGCGGCGCGGGGCGGCGACGCGTCGCCGCCCCGGCCCGGAAACTTCCTCCCCGCGCACACGCCGCCCGCGCGGCGCCCGCGCCGCCGAACCGCCGCGGTTCCGCCCGACGCGCGCGCGCGCCGCAGGTCTACGTCGCGTCCAAGGTGAAGCGGCCGCGCGCGGCGCTGCGCGACGACGACGGCGACGAGGACGACGACCGCGCGAGCAGCAGCCCGCCGCCGCCGTCGAAGCGCGCGCACCTCAACGGCCGCGGCGCGCCGCTGCTGCCGGCCGTCGGGTCGTCGGAGGTCCTCGAGCGCCTCGCGCGGCTCGAGGCGACGGTCGAAACCTGCGTCCTCCCCGCGCTCCAGCGCATCGAGGCGCGCCTCGGCACGGCCGTCCCCGAGATGGACGGCCTCGACCCCGAGGAGGCGGACGTGCTCCAGCACCTCGTCGCGAACGCGCCGGGCGACGGCGCGGACCTCTTCGCGCCCTTCTACCCGAGCGACGGCACGCCCTGGGCCGACATGATGAGCACCATGGGCAGCGGCCTCGACGGCGTGCCCCACTCGCTCGCGAACACGCAGGAGGACTCCTAGGAGGCGCCTAAGATCGCGGACGTCGCGTCGTAGAGGGCCCGCGCGCGCGCGCCGTCGCGCCACGCGGCGTCGAGCCGCGCGGGGACGCCCGGGTCGAGCCAGAGCGTCTCCCCCCCGCGCGCCGCGTCGTCGTCGGCGAGCCAGACGGGCAGCGCCGCGCCCTCCGCGGGCGTCCGCAGCCCCAGCTGCCGCGCCTGCCGCGCGAGCTGCTCGGGCGTCATCGCCGAACGCTGCGCGGCGCGCTGCGGCAGCTCGTAGCGGACGATTTGCGTCGCGACGCGGCCGGGGAGCGCGCAGGCGGCGACGGCGAGCTCGGGCGCGCGCCGCCGCGTCTCGTCCGCGAGCAGCACGCAGCACGCCTTGCTGTTCGCGTAGGCGACGTGCGGGTCGCACTTCGCGTCGCGGAGGCTTTCGACGGGCCGCTTCGCGAGGTCGGCGTCGAGCAGTGCCGTGCTCGCGACGGTGACGAATCTTCCTCGGCTCGCGCGGAGCTTCGGGAGCAGCGTCCGCGCGAGGAGCGCGTGGCCGAGGTAGTTGGATGCGAAGTGCGGCTCCTCCGCGCCGGCGCGCGGCGCGCCGTCGACGCCCGCGATGCACAACAGGCCGTCGACGCGGTCGACGGTCGCCGCGACGTCGTCGGCGAAGGCCGCGACGGATGTGAGGTCCGCGAGCTCGCAGCCGCGCGCCGGCGCCGCAGCGCCGAGCTTCGCGGCCGTCGCCGCCGCCGACGCGCTCGTGCGGCACGCGACGACGACGCGGTGCCCGCGCGCGACGAGCTCGCTCGCCGCCGCGAAGCCGATGCCGCTGCTCGCGCCCGTGACCACGAAGGTCTTGCGCGGCGGCGGCGCCGCCGCCGCGGGCAAGCCGAGCGCGCCGCCGCCGAGCGCGCCGCCGCCGCCGACGAGCAGCCGCCGCCGCGGCACGGCGACGCCGCCGCACAGCGTCGCGAGCTGCAGCAGGAGCGCGACGCGGCGGCTCGTCATGGTGCCGACTCGAGGATCATCCCGCCGCATGCTGCGCATCGATGCGCTGCTGCGTCTCACTTCAGACGCGTGACGCAGACATGCTCTCACTCAGGATGAAGTGGTTCAAGATTGCCCCTGTTTCCGTCATCGTGCCTGCCGTATCGCAGCCCGCGGGTGCTGGCCCGCCGGACCATTACAGCAGCGCTGCCCTTTTAAAGCGCTCGCAGTGCGCTGCCCGCCGCATCGCGCGAGTCGTCGTTTGCTCGCGCGCGCGACCGGCCGCCGCCTCCGCGCCTGCGACCGCCGCCGCCCGGCGCGCCGGCAGCGCGCCATGGGGCAGGCCATCGGCCGCGCGCCGCTGCTGCCCGTCGCGCGGCACTACGTCAACGGTGCGCCGCAGCGCCGGAACCGCTGGCGCGCGGCCTCGCTCGCGCGCGCGCGCGCGCGGCCGTGGCGCGCGCGCGCGCCCGGACGCGCGCGCCGTCACGCACCCTCCGCTCGCAGTGCCGTGCACGTCCATGCACCACCTGTGGGACGCGTTCAACGACATCGCCGAGGGCTTCGGCCTCACGTCGGACGAGATGTGCGAGATCCTGCGGGTCTGCCTCAAGGACGTGCTGGGCTACACGGAGAAGAAGCTCGACGCGATCTCGCGGTGAGCGCGCGCCGCGTCGGGACGGGCGTAGCGCGCCCCGCGACCGCGCCGACCCCCCCCCCCGCGCCAGGTCGCTCTTCGTCGCCCTCGACGACGACAAGAACGAGCTCGTCGACGCCCTCGAGTTCCTGAGCGCCATGTGCATCATCTCCGGCATGTCGCAGTCGCAGAAGATCACGTTCATCTTCGGCGTCTTCGACTTCGACGAGAGCGGCCTCCTCACCGTCGACGAGATGATTTTAGCCCTCCGGTCCACGATCAGCGGCCTCTGCAAGCTCAGCGGCATCGACCTCCCGCCGGAGACGGAGATCGAGCGCATCGCCGTCGGCGCGTTCGCGAACGCCAAGTCCATCGAGGGCTCGACGATCGAGAAGCAGCTCTTCACCAAGTACTGCGTCAACACGCCCGAGGTCGTGTCCTGGATGGAGTTCTACGCCGACATCGTCGAGACGTCCAAGCCCCTCGACGCGTCGAACGACAAGAAGTGCGAGCGCGTCATCGCCGCGCTCGGCGCCGTCATGGCCCGCGGCGACAAGCACCGGGCCGTCATGGACAGCGAGGGCGGCTGCGCGGCGCGCGTCGCCATCGAGCGCATGGAGGACCGCGCCGCGCGGCCGTCGCCGCCCTGGCTCTCCAGCGTCGCGTTCTTGGAGCCCGCGGAGGCGCCCGAGGACGCGCCGTCGACGACGCCGGACGAGTGCCTCGAGCTCGAGTGGGTCCACGGCTTCAACGCCCAAAGGCGCCAGAACGTCTTCTACACGAAGCGGAGCTTCCTCGTCTACTCCGCGGGCGCCGTCGGCGTCGTGTTGGACCCGTCGAACCGCCGCCAGACGTTCTACAACGGCCACACGGATCTGATCGAGTGCCTGCGGGTCTACCACGCGGCCCACGACACCTACGTGGCCACGGGCCAGCTCGGCGTGACGCCCAAGGTCACGGTCTGGTCCTGCAACACGCTCGAGGTCCTGTCGACGATGCGCGGGTTGCACGCCGCGGGCGTCGTCCACGTCGACTTCTCGGGCGACGGCGAGCTGTTGGCCACCGTGGGCGCGCTGAGCGGCGGCGCGAGCGACGCGGCGCCGACGCAGCTCGTCGCCATCTACGAGTGGCGCAAGGCGCGCGTCGTCTTCGCCGCGCGCGTCGCGGCGGCGACGCTCGTGCTCGACTGCCGCTTCATCCAGGGCCGGGATCTCGTGACCTGCGGCGTGAACCACGTGCATTTCTGGTGGGAGCGCGGCGACACCTACTACCAGGAGAAGGGCCTCCTCTGCCGCAAGACGCAGCCGCAGCCCTTTTTGTGCGTCGCGGCGCCGGGGGACAAGGTCGTCTGCGGCGCGGCGAGCGGCCACTTGTTGGTCTGGGAGGGCCGCACGTGCGCGAAGACGTTCAAGGTCCACAGCGGCGCCGTCACGTGCCTCTACGCCGTCGGCGAGGCCCAGGGCGCCGCGCGGCCGGGGTTGGTGTCCGCGTCGACGGACGGCAAGGTGCAGATGTGGGCGCTGGAGAAGGGCGACCTCGAGCTCGGCGCGACCTTTGATGTGGCGGCGCTGGGCGGGCTGTCCCACGGCATCCACGGCGTCTGCTGGGACCCGACGAAGAACAAGCTGGGCGTCGCGACGGACGCCGCGGAGATCTTCGAGATCTCCGCGTCCGAGGGCCACAGCCTCCACGCGGCGCCCGTCGTCGTCGGCCACAGCGAGCGGCGGCTGAGCGGGCTGGCGGCCCACCCGAAGAACGACCACGAGGTCGCGTCCGTCGGCGACGACAAGCTCGTCTACGTCTGGCACGCGGACGAGCACCGCGTCGACCGGTCCGTCGCGCCGGACACCGCGCGGAAATCTTCAACCCGACTTCAATGTGAGCGTATTCGAAGAAGTGGACACAAGCTCTTCAGCTCTGCTTCGAGAACTCGACGAGAGCAATCGATTCGTCCAAAAATCAGCCGAATCGACTTCGAATTGGCCGAGATAGAGAGGTTTGAAGTTTTTGCTGGACAGGGCGTTCCACTGGTTGATTCCCACACAGGCTGGACACGATGGCGCGCTGCTGCGCCTACAGCCACGACGGCACCATGCTCGCCGTGGGCCTCGGCGGCGTGGACCACAAGGGGAAGCGGCAGCGCAAGGACGGCGCCTACGTCGTCTTGGATTCCGAGACGCTGACGATCATCCACGAGGCGCGCGACTCGAAGATGCCCATCACGGCCGTGGCCTTCTCGCCCGACGGGCTGACCCTGGCCCTGGGGTCCGAGGACCGCGCCTTATACCTCTACAACGTCGGCGACTTCGCGGCGACGACGAAGTGCCGCGGCCACAAGGGCCGCGTGCTCCAGTTGGACTGGTCGGGCGACTCCAAGTACCTCCAGTCGACGGACGACCTCGGGGAGCTGCTGTTTTGGGAGGCCGACTCGGGCGAGCAGCGCGCGCCGCGGCTCATGCGCGACACGGTGTGGTGCGCGCAGACGTGCATCTTCGGCTGGCCGCTCAAGGGCTGCTGGCCGAGCGACGACCTGTGCGGAATTCAAATCTTCAACCCGACTTCAATGTGAGCGTAATCGAACGGTTCGGACCAGACTCTTCAGCTGTGCTTCGAGAACTCGACGAGAGCAATGGATTCGTCCAAAAATCAGCCGAATCGGCTTCGATTTGACCGAGCTAGAGATTTCTGAAGTTTGGCCCCGACGTCCCAGCTCACTGGTTGAATTCGGCACAGGCGACGACGGGCCCGACGACGGCTGCTTCCTCGCGGCGGCGGCGCGGCTGCCGGGCGCCGAGGCCGACGGCGGGCCGCCGGGCCACCTCCTCGCGACGACGGACAACTACGGCCGCGTCAAGCTCTGGCGCTACCCCGTCGTCGCCAAGGACGCGATCGGCCAGGACTACGGCGCGCACGCGGCGCCGGGGGGCGCCGTCGTCTTCACGCACGACGGCAAGCGCCTCTTCTCGACGAGCCGCGGCGACGGCTGCGTCTTCGAGTGGCGCCTGTCCCAGGACCAGACGCCGCCGGACGAATCCGCGCTGTCGCAGGACGCGCCGCCGGCCGAGGACGCGTGCGACTACGCGACGGGCAAGCAGCTCGACCGGCCGCCGGCCGTCGAGGCCTCCGCGAACTACGATTTGACGAGTCTCTTCCTCATGGAGGAGCGCGGCAACGACGACGACTACGCGCCGCTGCGGCCGTGGCAGCGGACGATCGTCGCGCCGTCGCGGCCGCCGCCCGAGGACAACTCCATGCCCAGCGACAAGCTGGAGCTCGAGTGGGTTCATGGGTATCGCTGCCACGACGTCCGGGGCCACGTGCACTACGCCTGGGAGTCGCGCGACGTCATGTTCCCCGCCGCACAGCTCGTGGTGCTCATGAACCACCAGGACCGGACGCAGCGCTACTTCCGCGAGCACGTCGCCGACGTCGTCGGCATGGCCGTGCACCCGACGGTAGACGTCGTCGCGACGGGCGAGGCGCGCGCGCTGCCGTCCGTGTTGGTGTGGTCGTCGACGACCTTGGAGTGCAAGTGCGCGCTCCACGGCTACCACCGGCGCGCGGTGCCGCTGCTGGCCTTCAGCCCGGGGGGCGGCGGCAAGTATTTGGTGACCATGGGCTGCGACGAGCTCCACAGCGCCGTCGTCTTCGACTGGGCGGCGGGCGCCGTCGCGTGCCGGACGCCGACCCAGGCGGAGAAGCCGCTCGCGCTCATCTTCTCGCGCGAGGGGTCGGGCTTCGGCGGCGGCACGGGCTTCGCGTGCTGCGGCGTCAACTTTTTGAAGTTCTGGGCCTTCTCGGGCAAGGTGCTCCGCTGCGACGACGGCCGCCTCGGCGCCAAGGGCCGCGTGCAGCCCTTCCTGTGCCTGGGCTGGCAGGGCTCGTCGCTCGTCATGGGCAACATGGACGGGTCGCTCTACCGCTTCGTCGGCAAGCAGCTCGACAAGGCCGTCCAGGCCCACACGGGCGCCGTGAACTGCATCCACACGACGAACGAGGGGCTCTGCACGGGCGGCAAGGACGGCCTCGTGAAGCTGTGGACGATGCAGCTCGAGATGAAGCTCGAGGTCGACCTCACGCTGCTGGGGTCGCTGGCGCCGTCGGCGCGGAGCGTCGAGTGGGACAACGAGCGCGGGCGCATTTTGGTGGGCACGGTCGGCGCGGAGCTCTGGGAGGTCGACACGGCCGAGGGCAAGAACCTGCACCCGGAGGGGCCCGTGCTCTTCGGCCACTTCGGGGGCCACTACGGCGGCGAGCTCTGGGCGCTGGCCTGCCACCCGACGCTGCCCCAGTTCTGCTCCGCGGGCGACGACAAGATGCTCCGCGTCTGGAGCCTCTTCGAGAAGCGCATGGTCCGCTGCAACCAGCTCGAGATGATGTCGCGCGCGTGCGCGTACTCGCCCGACGGCAAGCAGGTCGCCGTGGGCTTCGGCGCGCCCGTGAAGCAGACGGCGAAGCAGTTCGACGGCAAGTTCGTCATCATGAACGCGGACGACTTCGCGATCGTCCACGAGGCGCGCGACTCGCAGAAGTGGATCACGGAGCTCAAGTACGCGCCGAGCGGCGAGCTCCTGGCCGTGGGCTCCTTCGACAACCGCATCTACGTCTACGTCTTCGACGGCGGCGTCATCAAGCTCCAGAACATGATCACGCAGCACAACTCGTTCGTCACGCACGTCGACTTCTCGGTGAGCGCGAACATCATGTACCTCCAGTCCAACTGCGGCGCCTACGAGCTCTGCTTCTTCGAGGCGGACACGGGCATGTTCATCCCCGCGGCGTCGCGGCTCAAGGACGTGAGGTGGGACTCCGTGACCTGCCCGCTGACGTGGTCCGCGCCGGCGCGGGACACGGGCGCGACGTTCCCGACTTTCAAAGGCTCCGCGCTCGGCCGTTTCCCACTCGTTTCGGCCGATTTTTGGACGAGCGATCGTCCCTCGGAGCGCTCCCGACGCGTGGATGCGTTTCCCGGAACGCGCGCGCGCGGCACGCGCACGTCGAAGCGAAACACGTCCCGCGCAGGTTCACGCAGGGCGTCCACGCGGCGCAGAACGACGGCTCCGACGTCACCGCGTGCGACTGCAGCCTGTCGTCGACGAAGGTCTCCGTGGCCTGCGGCGACAACTTCGGGCGCGTGCGGCTCTACCGCTACCCCGTGACGTCGGCGCTGGCCAAGTGCAAGGAGTACCGCGGCCACGGCGCGGAGGTCCGGAAAGTCCGGTGGTCCGCTGGCGACTCGCACCTGCTGACGCTCGCGGCGCACGACCGCTGCGTCTTCCAGTGGGAGCACGTCGTCGACGACGTCGCCGACGAGGAGCGCGACGCGAAGCACGGCCCGAAGCCCGAGGGCGACGCGGCCGCGGCCGCGGCCGACGGCGCGGCGCCCGACGAGGGCGGCCAGGTCGACGGCGCGCTCGAGGCGCCGGGCGTCGTCGCCAACGAGGGCGCCGACGCCAAGGCCGCGGAGCAGCTCGCCGCGGACATCGACGCCGCCGACGACGAGGACGAGCTCAGCGACGACGACGCGGACCCGTCCGAGGTCACGTCGAAGCCCTGGCTCCTCGCCGCCGTGCCGCCGTCGAACGCGCCCAAGCCGAATTTGGAGGCGCCGGACGTGACCGTGGAGATGAGCTGGGTCCACGGCGCGCAGATGGAGATGACGCGGGGGTCGCTCGTCTACAACGCCTTGGGCGACGTCGTCTACCCGACGTCGAACCTGGTGGTCGTCTACGCCAAGGCCGCGCACGCGCAGAAGTTCTACCGGGGCCACGAGCACGCCGTGAGCTCCTGCTGCGTGAGCCCCTGCGGCCGCTTCCTCGCGTCCGGCGAGCGGAGCCGGCGGAGCCGGCTCCACGTCTGGGACGCCGAGGCCGCGACGGCCGCCGTCGTGCTCCCGCCGTACCACCGCGGGTCCACGTGGACGTGCGCCTTCGACCCGAAGTCGACGCGCCTCGTGTCCGTCGGCGCGGACAACGACGGGTCGCTGGCCATCTGGCGGTCCCTGAGCGGCGAGTGGCACGACGGCGCGCTCTTAGCGGCGGTCCAGGGCGGCGACCGCGCGGTGCGCTTCGCGTGCTTCGCGAACGCGGGCCTCAAGGACTACGAGGGCTACGACCTCGCGTCGGGCGGCGACGGCCACGTCTACTTCTGGACGCTGCGGGGCCAGACGCTGACGGCGACGGACCCCGTCTGGGGCGCGGCCGACGACTCCCAGCGCGTGCTCTGCGGCGCGGCGGTGCTCGACCGCTTCATCACGGGCACGCGCGGCGGCCACCTCTACGTCTGGAAGGAGCGGTCCTGCGTGAAGCAGATCCGGGCCCACGAGCACGGGTTGGAGTCCATCCACGCGGCGGGCGACGCGGGCTTCGTGACGGGCGCGCACGACGGCTTCGTGAAGCTGTGGACGTCGCGGTGCGTCCACGTGCGGTCCTACGACCTCACGGAGGCGACGATCCCGCCGCTCGTGCCCGTCGTCCACAGCGTGCACCTGGGCCTCGCCGACGGCGACGTCGCGAAGATTTTGGTGGGCACGTCGTCGAGCGAGGTCTACGAGATCGCGAAGAGCTCCGGGTCCATGACTTTACTGCACGAGGGCCACTACACGGACGAGCTCTGGGCCGTCGCGACGAACCCGGCGGACCCGGACGTCTTCGCGACGGCCGGCGACGACATGACGGTGCGCGTGTGGTCCGTGGCCCACCGGAAGCTCCTGCGCAAGGCGCAGCTCGACGCGCCGTGCCGCTGCCTCGACTTCTCGCCCGACGGCGAGCGGCTTTTGGTGGGCATGGGCGGCACGCCGTCGGGCACGCGGTCGCTGAAGGACGGCGTCTTCCTCATCCTCGACGCGCTGTCCCTCCTCGTGCAGCACGAGGGCCGCGACTCGCGGCACTGGCTCCGGTGCTGCAAGTTCGCGCCCGACGGCCTGTCCTTCGCCGTCGGGTCCATGGACCAGAAGGTCTACATCTACGACGCGGAGACGACCCACATGCGCGCCAAGTGCCTCAAGCACAACTCCTTCGTCACGCACCTCGACTGGTCCGCGGACAGCAAGTACGTCCAGAGCGACGCGCGCGACTACGAGCACCTCTACTACGGCGCGCTCGACGGCGCGCACGTGCGGCTGCCGTCCCAGCTCAAGGACGTGGAATTCGCGGGCTGGTCCTGCATCTACGGCTGGCCCACGCAGGGCGCCTGGGCCGCCTTCGGCGGCGACGCGGGCCGCGACCCCAAGTGCGACGTCACGACGGTGCACCGGTCCAACGACAGCGCGCTGCTCGCGTCCGGCGACGAGGGCGGCGCCGTGCGCCTCTTCCGCTACCCCTGCGCGCAAAAGTCCGTGAGCCTCCACTGCAGCCACCACCACGTCGCCCACGTCGCCCGCGTCGCGTTCACCGCCGTGTGGAACTCAAATCTTCAACCCGACTTCAATGTGCGCGTATTCGAATGTTTTGACACGAGCACTTTCGCCGTGCTTCGAGAACTCGACGAGAGCAATCGATTCGTCCGAAAATCAGCCGAATCGACATCGATTTGACCGAGCTAGAGAGTTCTGAAGTTTGGTGGGGACCCCCCAAACCAGTGGTTGATTTCCACACAGGTTCACCGCGGACGACGGCCACCTCGTCACCGTCGGCAAGCAGGACCGGAGCATCATCGTCTGGAAGATCGCCCAAAAAAACAAGCCCGTCGAGGACGACGAAGCCAAGGGCGACGACCCCGAGGCCTGAAGCCGCGTAAGCGCCCCGCCCCCGCGCGAGCGACAAGTAACCGGAAGGCCCCGGGGGCGTCATCGCCAGGAGCCGCGGAACCCGTGCTGGACGAGGCGCTGGCCCGCGGGCTCGGCGACGGGCGCGCGCGCGCCGCGCTCCTCGGCGATCTTCGCGTGGAAGGGCCCCGGGTGGTAGCCGAAGGCGCGGTAGGGGAGCACGAGCACGCCGCACTCCGCCTCGTCGAGGGCGACGTAGAGGCCGTCGGGCTCCGCGAAGTCGCGCGCCAACGCGTCGACGGCGTCGCCGCGGCCGAGCTCGCGGAGGAAGCCGAGCACGGCCTTGGTGAACGCGACGGGCCCCGTGCGCCGCGTGACGTTGTCCTTGGAGAAGGGGATGGCCTTGGCGTTCGCGGCGGCGGCGGCCGCCGCCGCGTAGAGCGCGGGGTGCTGGGGCGTCGTCGCCGCGAAGGCCCACTGGCAGAGCTGGAGCTCGTTGCCGTCGCAGGCCCAGGGGAACTCGACGCCGACGACGAGCACGTGCTGCGCGGCGAGGTGCGGCGAATAGCCGAAGCGCGCGAACCAGTCCTCGAGGGGCGCGAGCGGCGCGGCGTCGCTGTCCGCGTACGCGCCCGCGTTCCGGTGCACCGCGAGGTAGCGGAAGAGGTCCGCCCGTTCCACGCCGTGGCCGAGGCCCGCGTAGTCGCCGGCGATCCAGGGGTAGTGCTCCCGAACGAAGGCGAGCGCCGCCGCGTCGTCGTAGGTCGCCACGAAGCAGTTGTCGCCGTTGAGCCGCCGCCAGGCGTCGGCGTGCGGGTAGCCGTCCTTGCTCGTCATGGTGATCACCGGCGGGATGGGCATCGCGCCGCCCCGCGCCGCCGCGGGCGCGCGCGCCGCCGCCGGCGCCGCGGCGGCGTCGTCGTCGTCCGACGAGTCGCCGAAGTTGTCCCACTTGGCGTAGGAGACCATCGCGCAGCGGAGCTGCCCCGACGAATGCAACTTTGGCTTGCGCGTGCTCAACATTGAGGCAGAAGCCGCCGGCGCTCCTCGCGTCGCCGCTGCGCCGCACACCAACGCGAATCATCAATATGGTCAAGCTCTTCCTCACCCTGGCCGCCGCGGCGCGCACGGCCGTGCACGCCTTCAACATCGCGCCGTCGGCCCGGCCGCTGTCGAGCCTCGGCGCCGTCGGGTCCCGCGGCGCCGGCCGCGGCGGCGTCTACGAGGACCTGACGGGCATGGTGGGCAACACGCCCGTGGTCAAGATCAGCGACAAGCTCGCGCCCGAGGGCGTCGAGGTCTACGCCAAGTGCGAGTACTTCAACCCGCTGTCGTCCGTCAAGGACCGCCTCGCGGTCGCGATCATCGAGGAGGCCGAGGCGTCGGGCGCCTTGAAGCCGGGCATGACGGTCGTCGAGGCGACGAGCGGCAACACGGGCATCGCCGTCGCCATGGTCTGCGCCCAGCGGGGCTACGACTGCGTCATCTGCATGGCCGAGCCCTTCTCCGTCGAGCGGCGGCGCCTCATGCGCATGCTCGGCGCGAAGGTCATCGTGACCCCGAAAGCGGGCAAGGGCACGGGCATGGTCCGCAAGGCCGAGGAGCTCTGCGCGGAGCACGGCTGGTTCCTCTGCCACCAGTTCGAGAACGAGGCCAACTGGAAGTTCCACGAGGCGACGACGGGCCCGGAGCTGTGTGGAAACCAAATCTTCAATCCGACTTCAATGTGAGCGTATTCGAATGTTTTGACACAAGCTCTTCGACTGGGCTTCGAGAACTCGACGAGAGCGATCGATCCGTTCAAAAATCAGCCGAATCGACTTCGATTTGACCGAGCTAGAGAATTCTCAAGTTTGGTCAGGACCGCCCAAACCAGTGGTTGGTTTCCACACAGGCCCGGAGATCGTCAACGACTTCAAAGCCGCGGGCAAAAAGCTCACGCACTGGGTCACGGGCTACGGCACGGGCGGCACGTTCCACGGCGCGGGCAAGGCGCTCAAGGACGCGCTGCCCGACGTGAAGATCGTCCTCGCGGAGCCCGAGGCCGCGGGGTTGCTCGCGTCCGGCACCCCGACGCCGCGGAACGCGGACGGGTCGCCCGCGGAGTCGCACCCGGCCTTCGCCGCGCACCCGATCCAGGGCTGGACGCCGGACTTCATCCCCAAGGTGTTGGACGACGCGCCCATGGACGCGCTCATGGACGAGCTCTTCCCCATCCCCGGCGACGCGGCCGTCGCGACGGCCAAGGCCCTCGCGGCCAAGGAGGGTCTGCTCACGGGCATCTCCGGCGGCGGCACCATGTACGCGGCCCTCGAGACGGCGAAGAACGCGCCCAAGGGCTCCGTCATCCTCGCCATGCTCCCGGACACGGGCGAGCGCTACCTCAGCACGCCGCTCTTCGCGGACATCCCCGCGGACATGAACGACGACGAGCTCTCCATCGCCAAGTCGACGCCGTCCTTCCAGCTCATCCCCGGCGAGGAGCCCGTCCTCGCCGCGTGAGGTAGGCCAGCGCCCGACGCGCCGCCCCCGGACGGCGGCCCGGGCCCGCGGGCCCGCGCGCCCTCCCTCGCCCCCCCCCGCCCCCCGAGCTTCTCGCGGCGCGCACCTCCTAGGAGGCCGCGGCTTCGTTCAACGCGCGGGGCGGCGGGGTCGGGACGTCGGCGGCGCGGCGCGCCGCCGGGTCCGTCATGGCGCGCGCCCGGCGCGGAAGCCGCTCAGCGGAGCGCCCGTTCGAAGACCGCGGGCGGCTGCGCGCCGCTGATCTCCACGGGGGTCTGGCCGGGCTTCGTGATGACGAAGTGCGGCACGCCCTGGAGGCTCCGTTTCGCGCGCGCGTCCCGGAGCTCGTCCTCGACCTCCCGGCGGAAGGCGCCCTTGTCCGCGACGAAGGCGCGCGCGTCGGCCTCGGACTTGCCGGCCTCGACGCAGGCCTCGACGAGCACGGCGGCGTCGTTCGGCGCGCGCTCCTCGGCGAAGTAGCCGCGGAAGAGCCGCTCCGCGGCCGCGTCCTGCGCCGCCGGCGACTGCGCGCCCGCCCAGGCGAGCACGCGGTGGCCGTCGAGCGTGTTCGACACGAGCGCCTTCTCCGTGAAACTGTGGGGCAGGCCGACGGCCGCGAACTTTTGCTCCATGCTCCGGGAGAGCTGGAGCACCTCCTCGCGGCTGCGCCCGAACTTTCGCATGTACATCTCGACCTTGGACGACGGCGTGTCGGACGCGCTGGGGTTCAGCTGGTAGGCCTTCCAGCGCACGACGGCGTCGACGCCGCTGGACCGGAGCGCGGTTTCGAGGTTGCGCTTGCCGATCCAGCAGAACCTGCGGAACAAATCGTCGCGCGCCGATCGGCGCCGTAGAATTTCCGGACGCGGTCGCCGCGCGGTCACACGATGTCGGAGATGACGTCGATGAGCACCTTCGTCTCGCTGGCCAGCGCCGCCATGCTTCGAGACGCCCTGGTGGAGCTTCGCAAACTTAGTCTGCTTCGATGGTCCAGAGCTTCAAGCTCGCATGCACATCGACGTCAACTTGAAGTCGAGAAGCCGAAGGTGCTGCGGTCGCCCCCGACGCGTCCGCCTTAGGTCCAGTTGAAGGCGAGGCGCTCGACCTTGCCGAGGGGCCCCGAGTTGGCGAAGCGGCCCGGGGGCTTGTCGTAGGTCGGGTCGAGCTCGAAGGGCAGGACGAGGAGCGGGGGCCGGTGGCTGAAGTGCGTCGCGGACGTGAGGTGCGAGTAGGCCGACTGGGACTGGCTCAGCTCGTCGTGCGCGGGCCGCGGCTCCGCCGGCGCCCCGCGGTGCGCGCCGCCGCCGCCGCCGCCGCCGCGGCGCCGCGGCGCGCTCGCGCCCGGGCAGTGCGTCCGGTGCGCGCGGATGGCCAACGCGCAGTCGCGGTGCCGCCGGCGCCGCAGGCGCGCGCGGCGCTCGAGCCCGTGGGGCGCCGGAGACGGCGCCGCGGCGCCGTCGTCCGGCGTGCCCCGGAGCAGGTCGCGCAGGGCGTCGAGCCCCGGCGTGCGGTCCGGCGGCGCGACGGGCACGGCCGGCGGCGCCGGCGCGCCGAGGCTGTCGACGACGGACTCGCCGTCGAAGACCGACGCGATCATCTCCTCGTCCAGGCCCCGGCTCGAGGGCCGGGAGCCCACTTCGGCGCCCTCCATCGTCGCGCTAGGAGCTGCAACGTATCCGACGACGTAAAAACCTCTAAATCGGGGAGTGATGCGGGCCCGCCCCGACTGGAGCCCCGGGGTGCCCGCCTAGCCCGTCGGTCGCAGCAGCACAGCGGGGCGGCGTCGCGGAAGTTTCGGTCGCGCGCCGCGCGCATGGCGCGGGTGCGCGCCGCGGCGCTCGGCGCCGCGCTGCTCGAGGCGGCGCTGGGCCAGTGCCCGACCTTCGGGCGGCGCAACTACTACGCCGAGCACTGCGAGATCATCACCTACGACGCGGCCAGCGGCTTCGCCTACGCCTGGCTCAACGCGGGCCCCTGCGTCGCCGGCTTCGCGGCCGCGACGGACGCGGACGTCGTCGCGGTGTGGCCCGAGGGCGCGGACCCGCCGTACAAGCGCAACGGCCCGCGGCGCTTCATGACGACCTGCGTCGGCTTCGACGACGCCGCCGCGGTCGCGGCGCGCGCCGCGGAGCCCTTCCGGCTCGCGAACCCGCCCCGGGCCCTCGGCGGCGTCGAGTACGCCGTCCAGGCGCGGCTCCCCTTCGAGAGCGCGGCGGCCTTCGAGGGCTGGGGCGACGGCGGCCTCGCCTACGAGGGCGTCCTCGTGAACCGGAGCGCCGTCATGGTCTGGGAGGCCGGGTCGACGGTCTTCGAGCTCGTGGACGCCGCGGGGAAGCGCTACGTCATGCAGTCGCTGTCGCAGATCGTCGTCGAAAACCTCGCGCCGTCGGACCTGGAAGCGCTGCCCCGGGACCTCCCCGAGGGCTGGTCCTTCCGGTCGCGGACGGCGTCCCGCGGCCGTGACGATTTTCGAGAGCTGCTTTTGATCGGGAACCTGGAAACGCACTTGGTAGGTCGCGGACGCTCGGCGCCGACCTGCGCGTCGCGGGCCGCGGCGGCGCCGCGTGCGTCGTCCAGGACGAGTACGAGAACAGCTACAGCCAGCGCGGCCCCCGGCGCCCCCCCCCCCCC